TCGGCCTGGGAATTTGGGCCATATCTTTTCCCACTCAAATTACTTGGAGCCGTGGCACTTTGGGCTCATACCACTATGCATCGATCTGATCAAACCGAACAGGAAAGTAGGACCGATCGTGACCGGTTCAAGTCACGTGCATTGGTTGCTGAAGCTCAGGTAGATTCTGACCATACAGGTACTAATTGTACGACTTTCAAAGTTTCTGCATCTGTTATGAATAGTTCATGGATAATTAATTCTAGTTCTAGTGAATATATGAGTTGTGATTCTAGATAGGTACAAACCCTAAAACCATCTACCAATACTATAGTTAGTGTTGCCAATGGTAATGTTGTCCCCATTATTGGGGAAGGTGATATCTCTCTCTGATACCCTGAATCTTAACTCCGTACTTGTTGTTCCTTCCTTTGACTATAATTTATTATCTGTTGCTCAAATAACTGTAACCCTACATTACCTTGTTATTTTTTTTGGCCTTCTTTTTTGTGTTTTTAAGGACATTCAGGACTCGTAAGACGATTGGTTATGGTATTCGGAGGGAAAACTCTACTACTTGGAGCTGACATTGGACAGTTCTCAAAATTTGACTCAAGCTCTTGCCGTGGAAGGATCTCATAGGGAGAGGGATAAAGCTTCAGAGGTTTGGTTGTGGCATTGTCAACTTGGACATGCTTCTTTCGGCTATTTACGAAGGTTGTTTCCTAGCCTATTTGTTAAGCATGACATTTCTAGCTTTAAATGTGGTGTTTGTGAAATGGCTAAAAGTCATTGTACTTTGTTTCCACCAAGTTTGTATAAAAGTTCAATCCCGTTTATGATAATTCATTCTAATGTTTGGAGGACATCTAAAATTGTTACACTTGGTGGTGCTCATTGGTTTGTTACTTTTATTAATGACTGCACACGTATGACTTGGGTTTGTTTGATGAAGTCCAAAAGTGAAGTTACATCTTTGTTTCAACGGTTTTACAAAATGGTACAAGTATAATATAAGTCACAAATACAGGTTCTTAGGAGTGACAATGGCGGCGAATATGTAAACTCTGAACTTCGTGCCTTTCTTGATCATCATGGTATTGTTCATCAGACTACATGTCCATATACTCCACAACAAAATGGTGTTGGAGAACGCTAGAATTGTCAGCTTCTAGAGGTTGTTCGTGCCTCTTTGCTCAAGGCACGTCTCTCGTTATCTTTTTGGGGATAACCTCTCACCTCAGCTGCGTATCTCATGAATCGTGTTCCATCTTGATCAGTCGACTTTCAAACACCGCTCTAGACTCTTTCTTCATATATTGATGCTTCGACAGTTCCTAATCTTCCACCTCAGGTGTTTGGCTGTGTGACATTCTTTCATCTTTATAAACAGCAGCGAAGTAAGCATGAACCTCGGGCCTTACAGTGTGTGTTTGTGGGGTATGCCTCAAATCAAAAGGGGTATCGTTGTTATCACCCTTCGACGAAAAAATTGTTTGTCACTGTGGATGTTGCATTTCATGAGAATGATATGTACATTGCCAATCCCGAGTCCTCACTTCAGGGGGAGAATCAAACCTGAAGTTCAAACTCTTGATTATACTATTCCAGATATAGATAGTGTGAATGATTTGGATTTAAGTGGTGATGTCTTGGAAATAAGTGGTGATCATTCACACAAAAACAATGAAGTGAATGAATTGGAACTAAGTGGTAATGTCTTGGAGACAAGTGGTGATCATTCACATGGAAACAATGTTGAAAACCTTGAAAGGGACGAGTCGACATCGCCAGATAACTCATTGCTTGATAGCTCATTAACAGGTTCCTCACCACCGAACAATCCTATGTCGCCAGCTATCTCGCAGTCGATCTCAAGTCCCAATAACCATAATCAATCATCTTTGATCCCGGATGCACCACCACCACGTCGTCTCCTTGATCACGTCAATCGAGGTATTCCTAAACTTATGAAGCTGACCCTAAATGCAAAACTAGGTATCCGATGAGTAAGCCCAACCCTGAGTCTAATGTGTTATACCCGTTAAGTAATTATGTGTTTACCAGTCACTTGTCAGAATCAAATAGGTCATTTGTGCATCTATTATCTACTGTATCTATTCCTAACTGTGTGCAGGAGGCTTTAGTTGATTCACGTTGGCAAGCAGCAATGAATGAAAAGTTGAAGTCTTTGAAGAAGAATGCTACCTGGGAGATCATAGACTTACCAACAGGCAAGAAACCTAGGGGATGTAAATGGGTTTATACCGTGAAGTATAAAGCTGATGGGACGGTGGATCGCTTCAAGGCAAAACCGGTAGCAAAAGGATACACTAAAAAAAATGGAATTGACTATACATATACATTTGCTCCTGTGGCCAAGATCAACACAGTTCGTGTTTTGTTGTCCTTGGCTGCAAATCTTGATTGGCCGTTACAACAGTTTGATGTGAAGAATGCCTTCTTGCATAGAGATTTGACATAAGAGATTTATATGAATCTTCCACCGAGATGTAATGCTCCAGATAAATACAAAAAGAAAGGTGTGCAAATTGAAGAAATCCTTGGCTTGAAGCAGTCCCCTCGAGCATGGTTTGGAAGATTCACAAAATCTATGGGAGCATTTGGTTACAGACAAAGTAACTTTGATCATACTTTGTTCCTAAAAAGACAAAATGGGAAGCTTACTGCACTTATTGTGTATGTAGATGATATGGTGGTAACAGGTAATGATCCAGAAGAACGTGCGGCCTTGCAAAGATACCTGTCTACAGAATTTGAAATGAAGGACCTTGGATCCCTGAAATATTTTTTAGGGATTAAGGTGTTGAGAAGCAGTTCTAGAATTTTCTTGTCTCAGAAGAAATATATTATTAATTTGTTGCACGAAACTGGCATGTCAGCTTGTCAGCCAGTAGCTACACCATTAGAAGAAGGATTGAAGCTTAGTGTTGATCTTAATCAAGTACCAGTTGACAAAGGAAGATACCAAAGGTTAGTAGGCCGTTTGATGTATTTGGCACACACAAGACTGGACCTTGCTTATGTCTTGAGTGTAGTGAGTCAATACATGCATGATCCTGGAGAACAACATATGAATGCCGTGATGAGAATATTGCGATATTTGAAGGGAAGTTCGGGCAAAGGAATTTTGTTTAAAAGGAATAATCACTTTAGTGTTAAAGGCTATACTGATGCAGACTGAGCAGGTTCCATTGATGATAAGCGCTCAACATCAGGTTACTTTACGTTTGTTGGGGGTAACTTGGTTACAGGGAGAAGTAAGAAACATAATGTGGTTGCTTGTTCCAGTGCAGAAGCCGAATACAGAGGTATGACTTTGGGGATTTGTGAAATTTTGCGGCTTAAGCTTCTGTTAAGCGATTTGGGTATACAACATGATCAGCCCATGAAATTATTTTATGGTAATAAAGCTGCTCGTGACATTGCACATAATCTGATACAACATGATAAAACAAAGCATGTTGAAATTGACTGGTTCTTCATCAAAGAAAAATTAGAAGGAAAAATAATTGAAGTAACGATGATAAGAACAAAAGATCAGTTGGTAGATATCCTCACAAAAACTGTTTCAAGTCACAAAGTTTTCAAGTTTCTTACACAAGTTGGGCATAAGCGATATATATGCACCAACTTGAGGGGGAGTGTTGACTTTGTATTTTAGGTATGATCCCTAATTGATATGGAATCCCATGTATTCTCTTGTAATTACTTGTAATTAGTTCTCTTTCCATTTATGTTAGGGTTGTACACCTATAAGTACCTCTTATTGAGAAGAATATACACCAATTCAAAGCATTTTCTTCTGCGCCCTGTCAATGTCCACATGGGCGCCACGTTATCAGTTAACAGGAGACTTAACAGTTTGACTTACAGATGTATGAAACTGTCCCAAAATTTACACTTTAGGTATGACTCTGGAACGAAAAAAATTTAATGTACCAAATGTTGAAAATTACGAAACATGCGGATAGTAAATTGAGATTTACCCATTAAACAAATTAAGAAATTCTAATCAACCAAAAGATCATAAACAAGGATAGGTTTTCATATTTCCAAATTCCAAGTGCATTATTACCCAGTATCTTGGCATTTCCAAAAACAAAAATCACTGAAAAAAAAAAATTAAAAAACTCACCGCAACTCGATCTGGGTATTTTTCAATTATATTTTTATTTGGTACAGAAGGCCAAAGTCACTGTCATCGGAGCTGCAAAAGCACTGCAGTCTGCTTGTCTTCAGTTTCAATGTTGCTAAAATGATGTTAACTGACTTTCGAATATAAATGAAAGTTCTGCGTCACGATATGGTTTGTACTGAATGTGGCGCTTCAATAGAACTCTAGAGCAGCAATCCTTTCCCACCAAATGACTTGTGGCTGAAAGGCATTTTTATCTTTGAATTTGGGCTCAAGTTTGTGCTTTTGTTTCAAAAATGATTGAAATGCATTTTTCTTTCAAAAATATGGTTGAGCGCCAAATATATTGAGTCCTGACCAGTAATGTCATACGACTAACATCACTTGTGTATAGCTGAAACTTTGTTTTGCTTGTGTAATCTTAACTTCCCTGACAATGCTAAACCGTAACCATTCTACAGTTTAAAAAGAAATAAAATTGCAGAATATGTGTTTTGAAGCACCTAAAATCAGGTGATGGATACCTTTTCAATGAAAAAAAGGCAACCTTTTGAAGCAAAGCATACCTTTCAAAGCAAAGCAAGACGGTTCTATTGTTTTTTTTTTTTTCTTGACAAACAATAGCGTTGCTAGGTTCAATTGTTAGTGTTCAGGGGGAGGGATCGGCCGGTAGAGATCGAACCTGCACTAAGGTGCATAGGCATGATTGCTTTTTGCCACTGCAGTAAAGCGTTATATGCAACATTTATATCCTTTATTTTTCCTTACAAGCAGGTGGTGGATACCTTTCAAATGAAACAATGGCAACACTTTTGAAGCAAAGCATAACATTTCTATCCTTAAAAGCTTTCAAGTTAGGAATAATACACCTTTAACTTTTCCTTATAAGCAGGAAAACATATTTGGTTCTAGAACAGAAAACCGGGTTGAATCCTTTGTAACTTGTATTGAATTATCGGAAAATCAAGTTTGTTGATATGACGAGTCTCAACTTCGATGACCAAGATGGTAAGATACTTTATCTGTTTGCTTGAGTGTGTTGAAGTTGGAAATTAGTAGCTATTGTACACGTTTATTTTCAGGGATACTGAGGACAATTTCGGATGCACCACCAACCCATTACACACTAAAAGTACAATCGATTTCGTTGCTCACCAAACATAACTTGGAGAAATATGAATCTGGGGATTTTGAAGCCGGAGGATACAAATGGTACAATCTTTTCTCTCTATTTCTGAGAACAAGTTCTTACTGTTCCTTTTCTCATAAGCTTTGCGTTAATTGCTATTGTTTCTTCTTTTTTCGGAGCTGCGTTAGAGTACTACAAATTGCTGTTTTGCTGCAGGAAACTGGTTTTCTATCCAAATGGAAACAAGAAGAGGAATGTGAAAGATCACATCTCTCTCTACTTGGTAATGTCTGGAGCAACTGCTCCCCAGATTTCTTCGGAAGTGTATGCTGTTTTCAGGTTGTTTATACTCGATCAGAACAACGGCAATTACTTCGTTCTTCAAGGTACCATTTCTTTCTTTTAACTCACCGAATAAAAAAGGCTTATAGTTCTCATATTTGTGAAGCGTCGTCTCATATCTTTTTAAAATATGCATTGCTCAGAACCAAAGGAAAGGAGGTTTTATGGGATGAAACTCGATTGGGGATTCGATCAATTTCTCTCCCACAAAGATTTCACTGAAGCTTCAAATGGATTTCTCATAGATGACACGTGTGTGTTGGGAGCAGAGGTTTTCCTTTCTAAAGAGAGAAGCAAAGGCAAAGGAGAGCGTCTATCAATGGTAAAGGATCCTGTTATGTACAAGAATACTTGGAGGATTGACAACGTATCAAAGCTAGATGCGGAATCCTACGACTCAAAAACATTCATTGCTGGAGACCAGAAATGGTATATATAACACTAACTTGTTAGATTTCGCTCTTAGTATAAAGAAATTTCTCTCGAAGATATCAAAAACTTAAGCACTGTTTATCTGAAAGTGTTGTAAACGTGTTGGTGGTTGTTGCAGGAAGATGCAGCTCTATCCCAATGGAAAAGGCAATGGAGTTGGAACCCATCTGGCTTTTTATCTGGCGTTAGCCGAACCGAAATCTCTTCCTCCTGGCTGTCAAATATATGCAGAGTTTACCCTACGGATCCTAGACCAGCTGAATGGAAGGCATGACTATGGTAAAGGTAAAGATTTTGCCTAATCCTACTGCTACATAATCATACGAGCAAACAAGGATTAGAACATCTAACAAACATTCCATTAAGGGTGGTTTTATTGCCGCCATCATGCTAAAATTCCCACCATGAACGACGATGAGACTCTAGTTCTTGGAGGTGTTTCAGTCGAGATGGCTTACCATGTTGGTCATACCTATATAGTATTGAACCTGCGTTCAGTGGAAAGCCAATATCGAGAATTTCCGACGGCAACCTACTAAAATTGTTCACAATTTTTGGTTGCTCGTAGAGAAAGATTTTAGGGTTTTAAAATTGTTCACAATTTTTGGTTGCTCGTAGCGAAAGATTTTAGGGTTTAATTCGTTTTGGGATTCGGGTAGCCCAATCAGTTGTCCTCACGGTCCATTTTCTGAAAACATTCGAGTGTTTCTTCAAGAATGTGCTGCAATTTGAAGACTACAGTGTCCGGGGCATGCCCATTTGGTGCACTCTTGAAATGTTGAAACTCATGTTGAACTTCTAGCATTTAGCAGAAAGCAACTGAATGTTTTCAGCAACAGGACAATAAACCGTATATAGTCAACAATTTAATTTGTTTAGTGTCATCCAATTCTATCTTTTACTAAAAGTTCGTAACCAACTCTATTTGCATGTTTTACCCTTGTGGAAATAAATTTTTTACAACGTAAGAGTAAAGCTGCTTACGATAGATGTTCCTTCCCAAGGAGTCCTGTTAGTTTGGATTCACCCTTTAACCCTTTTTTCCAATATACTATTGAACTGAGAATCATTTTTGATGATTGCAGCTAATTACTGGTTTAGTGCCTCAAATTCGGTGAGGGGATGGATGAGATTTATTACTCTAGGATTATTCAAGCAGGCAAACATGGGGTTTGTGTTGAAGGATACTTGCATTGTGGAGGCAGACGTCACTGTCCATGGAATTACTGATGCACTGTAGTCAAATGGTAAAATAGTACAAAATTCTTGCTATATGAAACTGTGGGGGTGTAAAATAGTAAAAATAGTCGAATAATGTGTTAAAAACACATTCATTTCACTTGTGAATACCAATATTGTATCGTTTGTGACTACATGGTGGATGTATTTGCTCTTCATATACCTTTCCTTGTTTTCGGTTTCATTTTTCCTTCTATGGTGCTTGAGAGCATAGAATACTTCGGACTTTTTAATCATTAAATTTTGATTTCTTTATTTTTAAACAAATATCTAAACGGTTAAAGCATCTATAGTATCCCATAAAAATTGCCTGAAAGTGAATCTCAAAACACATAATATAATATCAACTTTTGAACAAAAATGCATTCTTCAAATATGTAATCCACATGAATTAAAATTTGTCACACAAACCAAAAATTTGCCATTTTAGAGCATGCATCCATCAAGATCTGTCAGCTACTAAAACGTCATCATCTCTCAATCGGGTCAATATCTAATTCTAATAAAATAATAATTAAATCTTTAACAAATATTAAGCAACAAAAACACGTAAATAAATTAAACGAATTAGAAATTCTAATTAATTAAGGGTGCGTTTGTTGCACCGGATATTTCAGACTGGACTAAGCTTCAAGGACTAAGCTGGACTAGCGTAGAATAGACTAAGCTGGACTGATTTAGTGAAGCGTTTGGTGCAGTGTCGGACTAAAAACTAGGATAATGAAAAATAGTGAAATTACAAATTTTAACGATAGAATTACATCCAACTCAACTGCAAAATACCCACAGTCAAATCAAATGATAATTACATTAAACTCAACGCAATTGCTTGGAAACGAAAGAAAATATTGAGTTTTTGTGTATTGTAGCATTGCAATTTGCAAAAACAAACAGCGCTTTCCTACAACATAGGAATTCAGAATCAGTACATCAAACTTACTCACTTTTTGGTCTAAAATCCTTCTAATCCTCTAAAATTCAGAAATCTATAAACATTCAGCAACCCAAATGTCCCAAAATTGTTAAAAACTCTAACTTATCAGACCACAAATTTGGAGGAAGAAAATTTCGATTTCTTCTTCACAACCTCCCAAAATCCATGAATAATACCATATTCATTCATCCTAATTTAACATACAATTGTAACATCATTGTATGACTTTTCTATATTTGATAAAGAGACATCCTTTGCACCTTGAGCGTAGCTTTCCATACAAAACAATTGAATTTTACAACTCTTGTTTAACGATTTCGTCCAAAGAATAACTTACAACAATTGAATCAAACAACGGCTACGATATAATATGAACAAGACATTCACGGCACAACCAACACAACAATTACCCCAAAGAAGCAACTCCAAGAATTGTGCTTCTTTGTACACTTACTGAGGATGCTAATTGAAACGTCACCAATGCTACTGCTTTTCTCGAACTTGGTGTATTAGTATAGTCCGCAGACTCCGCACTTCATTCTGGTGCATTTCCTCATCAATGGCAACAAAACATCAGCCCAAAACAAAAGCTAATAAAGGTGAATACCTTCCATTTCTTCGTTGTGGTTCAGCAGGAAGTGTATCTTTCACACAAGTCTTTGTGTCAACTAATATTGGGTTTCGGTTAGTTTCCGTAACAGGCATTTTAATATCATCAATCATGCCCACCATCCATACCCTTCTACAAAACCTATTTTGATATCATAAGAAAGTATAGCCAATCATTAAAGGAAATGAGGTTAAGGAGATCAATGCTCCGATATCATCAATTCTATCAGAGAGAAACAGAGAATTGGCTGTAAAAATAAAGCAAAAGAAAGAGTGTGCTTATTTGACGCACCGATATATAAAGGTAGGATGTTTTTCTAAGACTTTCTCAATAATGTTTCATTTTCAGTACCGATGTTTCAGGTATCTAAAGCATTGTCTCATTAGGTCCCAAAAACTACATTGGATCACCATCAGCAACCAGTTGTGCTTATTTCATATTATTTCAATCAAATACATGACAAGCTTTAGTTAAAGGGCACGATAATCTTACAATCTAGGATTCATGCTTACATCCAACCCATACAAAACTGCCAAACAAAGGAACAGAGCTGCAAACTTAATCCAGACATCACTCCTTACAGATGATATTGATAACCAATTAACTACTTTATGCAACAATTATGATCCATATGACCCATTTATTAATTGATTATAATGCTAAATAAGCCCAAGAAAGCCCTTATCTAACTCATTATGACAAAATTCCCCCAAAGATAAATTAGTAAATAGAAAGATAAACCTTGTACATCGCATAGATTAACAGATACAATATCAAGTAGCTCCATGCAGGAGGTTAAAAGTCACCTAAACAATGTAGTCAAAGACTTAATCAAGAGAAACAGATGAATTAACTTACAGTGGCAACAAATGGAACTTGCAATTTCACAGAAGCAGAAATCAAATCCGTAAAACTACATCATAAAATACCCAGAAGCAGAAATCATTGAAGAACAAGCAATTTCACAGCATAAGACCAACCCAGATTTCACAGAATCAAAGCAATCCGGATTTCACATAATCAAAACAACAAATGAATTTGTAAATGATGAGTGAGAGAGAGACTGACGATTTCTTGGCTGCTCGAGCGAGCGAGCATGGCCGATGAAGTTACTCCAGCGATCAGGATGAGATCGATTAGGACGATCAAGATGAGCATGACAAGTAGGGTGAGCACGACGAACACGAAAAGGCGAGCGAGCAGGAGGATGATGACGGTCTTAGCTAGTCTGCTCGTATTTGAGGGGTCTCGCTAGGACCACCTAACGAAGGAGTTAGTAAAAACGAGTCCCACTTAATACCAGTTAAACTTAGTCCTGGTAGCCAACAAAGAGAGGATTACACTAAAAATTAGTCCAGTCCAGTCCAGGTTAGTGAAGCCAAACAAACGTGCCCCAAAAGATCGTAAACAAGGATAAATTTCCATATTTCCAAATTCCAAGTGCATTATTTCCCGGTATCTTGGCATTTCCAAAAACAAAAAATTACTACAAAAAAAAAATTAATAAAACTCACCGGAACTCGATCTGGTTATTTTGCAATTATATTTTTCGATTCTTCAAGTCGTTCATCAATACCAAAAAAAAAAACAATATTTTGCAATTATATTTTTGTTTGGTCACAGGAAACTAGTGCTCTACCCAAATGGAAACAAGACGAGGAATGTGGCAGGCCAAATCTCTCCCTACTTGGAAATGGCGGATGCTGGTTCCCTACAGACTGGTTGGGAAGTTTATGTTGATTTCGGTTCTTTTTGCTTGATCAGAAGAAAGGGATGTACTTGGTTTTTCAAGGTATTGCATCATCAAGTTTATTTCATCAAGTAGATGTGACGAGTCATTCTTTTTCATATTTTCTTAGTCTTACTTTTAATTTGGTGATCCATTTTTATGTTGCATTTCTTAACTAGATGTCAATGAAAAGGGAAAGTGTTTTCATGGGATTATGCCTTATTCGGGTTTTGATCAATTCATCCCTCTTAAAGCGTTTACTAATGCTTCCAATGGATAGCTCATGGAAGTGTATTTGGAGCGGACGTTTTTGTTTGTAAAGGAAGAAGAATAGGAAAGGGAGAGCGTCTATCAATGATCAAGGATGCTGTTAAGTGCAAGCATGTTTTATTTGGAAGGTTGAGAACTTTTCAATGTTAGATGCTGAGAGTTACTACTCACAACTCTTAATTGCTGAAGACCTGAAATCGTATCTCCAATAGGCTTTCAATTTACTATCTTATCAATACCCACTAGTACAAAAAAAAAAAAACAGTTGCGCGATGTAAGTACTTTCGTCGCGCAAAATAAAAAAAAACGTAGCCTGAAAATTAGGCCAATGAAATCTTCGTCGAAAGCAGGGTTTTCGCAACGAAGAGACAACCTGCATCGCACAAAATGTCTTTGCGCGACGACAATACGTATCTACATCTGTAGGTGACAAAATGGAAAGGTTCAAAGCCATCAAACAATTCTGATCCTCCCAGATTCTGGAGGGGTATGTGTATCTCTTAGAACATCTGTAGGTGACAAAATAGAAAGTTGCAAAGCCATCAAACAATTATGTATACCTAAAAAATTGTCTGAAAATAAGCTAACTTATATAGGTGTTATAGTTTAATTCAGTTTACATCATGTTCAACACAATTTAATAATTATATATGTTAAAGTAATCGATATTAACATGTTAAAGTAATAATTATTCATTTAAATTTTATTTTAACATGCTTACGTGCTTACTGTAGACTGTATCTTTGTAGTTTCAAAATGAACAAGCTTAGAGACTTACCAAAAGTCTTGCCATCGCCGATTTCTCCAGTCCTGGCTTGCAAGGGAGGGATTGCATGATGAAGAGAGATGAAATATTTGTATGATAACTTTAAGAGCAAGGGAGGGATTGGAGAAGGTTTTGAAGAGAGATGGGGGAGGGAGGTAGCTGCTGCAACTAGGTTTGCAGTTTCTGCCTCCCAAACTGCTTTAGTGAAGATGAAAAAGTCGTTGACTTTGCAGCGGCGGAGGTACACTCCCTTCGCGCAAAACAGTTTTGCACAACGGCAATCTTCATTGCGCAAAACAGTTTTGCGCGACGAAGGTGTACCTCTATTGCACAAAACAGTTTTGAGCAACGAATGTATACCTTCGTCACGCAATGTTGGGAAAAAAAAAAAAGCGGTTGAAGTATTGGTTTGGAGCAAAAACTTGTACGACGACGCATATACCGCGCTGCGCAAATAGTCTTTGCGCAATGGTGAAACAAAACGTTGCGCAAAGGACGTTTGCGCGACACTGTCTATGTGTCACGCAAGTTTTTGCCACCAAACCAAGACTTTTACCACTTTTTTTTTCCAACATTGCGCGACGAAGGTACACCTTTGTTGCGCGAAGATGTTTTGTGCGACACACATCTTTATCGCGCAAAGTTGATTTGCACAAAATGTCCATGTGTGACACTTTGTTGTCACCATTGCGCAACACAATTTGCTCCGTTGCGCAAGTTGCTGTCGCGCAAATATGTTTTTGTACTAGTGACCTTTTCTTTGCTGAAGTCAATTTTCATCTAACATAAAAGAGATGGATACACTTTCAGAGGTTTGAACTACACATGCAATTTGCACGTACATAATGT